TTCACATAAGATGAATGACTGCAAGTCTCAAATGACTTTTATCCTAGTATAAATGGTGCAACAAAAATCTTTTAAATATTATTTTGTTCATCTGAAGTCTTAGGAGTCAAGGAAAAGTTCTCCCATTCACCAACGAACTATTCTGCTCAAGTTCTCTTCCTCTCCAACCAGACGAACTAGCTTTCCCTACATTAACTTTACCCTATCTGATCTGCAAACCTTTATACACACAAGTAATCAAGCCTACAGTGTCTGTAAACCATGCAAGACTCCCTCCTATAAAACTGTCTCTAAGACTCCAGTCATCAAAGTCTTTGCTCAATAACCCCTGGGAGTGCTAGTTTACAGATGTGTCACTTTTCATCCTTCCTATTTCATGCACCAGCCTCAGGAGAGCTGAAGAGAGCTATGCACAGGTCTGTTGTGCAGGCTGCACCTGACTTAAAGCACTGCTGTGTGCCTTGAGGATGAGGACTGCTGCCTTCCCTAGGCTCGGAATTCAGTTTCTCACCAGCAAAAAATGCACCCAACATAAAAAAATAAAGTGCATCTTCCTAATATATACTTTGGCAGCTGATGAGTTATAAGACTAAAGCTGACACTCCCATGGAATGACAACACATGTTAATTTGTGTTACTCTGAGATAAGTAAATGCCATCTTCCTTGAACACAAAGCAAAATGACGGAACACCTTTCATTGTTTTTCACGCACTTCTCACATGTAATAATGAAGCCCTTTGGTTAATTAACTAAAGCTAGAAAGCAAAATAGTACATGTTTGTTCAGAAGTTTTTGGCCTAGAATAAACTCAGTCCAAGGTCACTGCATTAGAAATTTTACAATAAAAAACTAACCTTCCTTTTCCATATCTACACAAAGAGCTCTATTCATTTCTCCTAAGAAACCAAACAGATTAAAACTCAGGACTCCCTAAAAAGTACCCTTATTTTATTAATAATCCAAGCAGATTCTTTCCCCCTGCCTCCTGCCTTCTCCTTTATTTACAGATCCTTTCAATGGCCTCAGGTAATTCTGGTCCAGTGAACCAATCACAGCAACTTTCCAGCTGGCAGAGAGAGTAAAGGCATGACCAAGATTTCAGACCATCATTGTTAGTTCCCCTCTGGTGCTCTTGTTATGGCAACAGCATACTTTTCCACAGCTGATGACGCTGTTATGGGGGGGGGGGGGTGAGAAAAGGGCAGAAAGAAAGGCTAAAAGAGGTCTCTGTTTCTGCTTATTCCCCAGAGCGCAAGTCTCCCTGAAGCAGACAGTTGAGAACTTACAAGAGGACTATGGTAGCAGAAAGAATCCTATTAGCTAGCATTCCAGAGGCAGAAAAGTTTCTTTAAATATTTGGAAAACTTTCCTTTTCATTAAAATAAGCATCTTATGATAGTGAAGGAGAAAACTGGGATAGGGGTGGGACACTAAGTTTGAGGCTACCTGCTGCTATTAATTAGTAGTATGACACTTACTAATAAGTTACTTAATTTCTCTTGGCTTCAGTTTCTCTCAACTAACCAGAGTGTCATGAAAGTAAGGCCAACTATAATAACTTTACCTTCTTCCACTGAGACTAGTAGTAGTTTCTCAGAGAACCAAAATAAAGTAAAATCCAAGGGCATGTTTTTTGCCTTGAATTTATTCAACAAAAATTTTCCTCTTCCCTAATAGAAAAGCAACATGAGAAATTTTAGAGGTTATAGCAAGTGTGCTTTTACTTCTCATTTCTCAAACTGCAGGAAGGCAATTTTTTTTCAAAGATATTTTATTTATTTATTTTTAGATAGAGGGGAAGGGAGGGAGAGAGGGAAAGAAACATCAATGTGTGGTTGCCTCTCTTGTGGTCCCCTTACTGGGGACCGTGCCTCCACCCAGGCCTGTTCCCTTACCAGGAATTAACCACTGCTCTGTTTCGTAGGTCGGCGCTCAATCCCACTGAGCCACACCAGCCAGGGCAGGAAGGCAATTTTGAGAAACCTTTTCAAGGGTAGGCTGCATTCTCTGATCCCCAATGAATAAAGGACTGAAGGGGGGAGAAATCGAATGTCTTTGCCCCATGTGATCATTTCGGGCATTCAGCACATCGACTGTTACTCTGGAATGCTCTGGCATGTGTAAGATACTCCAAGTCTGAGGCAGGAAATGCTAATTCCCTTCCTTACCAGTAAATAGAGATTTCCAATACAAGAAGCCTACTGATTCTCATTTTTCTACATGTTTTCAAGTCTGAAATATGTAAGTTAGCACATAAAGTTTTTTGTTCTAGAACTAAAAATCTTATCCATTCTCAACTCATCAAGATTTTTAAGACCATTCAGAGCAAGGACTGCATTTCCTACTTTTGCCTGTATTCACTTTTGTTCAAAGCACTGCATTGGGCCCACAAAACTCACTTAAGATACCTAAGGATATTAATTTAGGTATCTGGAGGAGACCAAACAACAACAAACTATCTTACCTTGGTTCTGGGAAATAAAATACATGGGGGTGGAGGTGGGGAATGCAACAAGAGAAATGAACGAACCATGAGGGGAAAATTAAATCAGTAAGTACTGAACAGCTAAACAACACTGTGTTAACTATTATAAAATAGTGATTAAATCCAACTGCAACAGTGCTATATCCTCTAAACACATTAAGTCTTTGTGTTAAAAAAATCGAAAGATCACAATGTATTAAGCCAATAAATACAGGCTCAATATAATAACAGATGAGCTAACATGACAAGTCTTTAAATCTGAAACACAAAAACGGTCTAGAAACAGGTTAAATGATATTTGAGAAAGTAGTGGTGTGTGCTGGGAGGAAGGAGAAATGAAACCAGTATTTCTGGCAAAATCTTTCTAAGCATTTTAGGAACTAATCCAAAGTATTAGACTGGATTCTATCTTTAAAGTAAAGCTTAGGGACTATGCCCTTATTTTAAAAGCATGGTAGTTTGGCTCTTTGAAATATGCCCAAAAGGGTGCCCCTCTGTGTCTCTTCCCTCAGGGGACTAATGATTACTATATAGCAGTGATTTTCAACGGGTGTGCTGCAGGAATTTTTAAACATGCAATACCTGACTATGAGTCAGGGGCACTGACCTCTTTTCCCTTAGACTGTCAAATTAAGAAAATGACAACAGCCAACACAATAGTCATCCAGTGAATGAATCAAAATTATAGCTTTTTTGTTGTTGTTAGATCAGCAAAAAATATATTTGGTGTGCCGCAGAAATTTTAGTAATTAGTTTATGTGTGCCGTGAGAGGAAAAATGTTGAAAAATCGCTGCTGCATAGCTAAGAGTTCAATCCCCTCCTCAAACAAATAGCTCAGTTGCAATTGTTACTACAACATATGTTCTGAACTGCTGGGAGCACAGGCATTTACTGACCACAAAGAATTCTGGAAGTTATAAATTCCTTTCCATCACCTCAGAAAACAACATCCATTTTTAAAAAGCTGTGAGTTCAAGTTCAAGGCAACACTATCTGGAGCAGATTCTGGTCTGCCAAAATCTTTCATGATTACAAACATACTCAGGGGCTGGCCTTGAATAGATCAGGTCAGGAGAGAGGTTCCTCCAACGAGGTAAGTCATCCCACTAAAAACTCCAGTTTTGCAGTTAAACCTTCCTTAAACCCAGCTTTCCATACGTATTAGGAACTTCTCTGGCCTGGGTCATTTTAAAGTCTCCCAAGACAGTCACCCTTCCCCTAGAATGGCCTGGCTAGATTCCTCTGTAGAGCTCTCTCCGATTTTTATCCCTTGTTGGCAAGGAGGTCTCCTTACTCTAAGGTCCCTTTCTATTGTGCAACGGATTCAAGCACCGCCAAGGTCTAAACTGCACGGGATTGGTTGTAGCACAGCTGCTGAGCCCAGCCTACGGGAGCGATCTAGCACCTTGGAGACTGCAGGGGCTGCCAGCACAGTCCCAACGCTCTAGTGACAGGGCACCACATCACCAAAAGAAGGCGAAGTTCTGAAGTTAAAAATGAAGCACCATTCCCTTCAATAAGGTCCCTCAAGATCGCTTTCCAGTCTCCTCCCTTTGGAGAAGAGCCCAGTCAGGGGACACGCAACCTTTGAGCTCCCTTTTCCCGTGACCAATTCAAAACTTCACCTCTACCCCAGTGTTCTTCCTTGTAAACAGTTCCTGGTCGTACTTGGAAAAGCAATGCCCAGGAACCTCCCTCTGCTCTGCCCCTTCCTCAAAATCAAGCGATCCCACTGACCAAGGTGTTCTTGATAATGGCCTCTCCAATCGGTCTCCAAACGCGCTGCTACCAAAACCCTACCCTTAAGGCTGTCAGCGGTCTGCTACTCCCATTTCCTTTCCTTTGGCTATTACTTGAGCACTACTTTATCACTCTCTGATCCAGCCTCGGGACTCCCCCCACCCGTGAGGCCTCGTCCGCCAAGTAAACAATGCTGTCAAAGCAGGATAACACTGGGCGAGGCTTCCAAACTCCGCATTCCAGCCTCCTCCTTGCGTTCTGAAAGCAGCAAAACAAGTCATCGCAAGGGCCCAAGAGCGAATTACCCTCCCCAACTTCCTTTCTAAAAAGGCCTAGGAGACAGCTTCAAAATCAAGCATTACCGTGCACAAATGCACAACATGCAAGAGGCAGAGTGAGTGCAAGACCAAGTGTAGACGAATTTGCCCGGGGAGAGGCGGAGAGAGGGAAGAAAACTAGGTCGAGCGCATAAACCTGCCACGAAGCGGGAACAGGGGCTCCCCGCCCCCCACCTCGACAGGACAGCCACGTTTCCAGAGTGGGCGCGCGCTCAAGCGCGTTTCGGGCAAGAGAGAGAACTCAAAGTTCAGGTTCCCGAAAGAAGTCCCACGGGGCTTTGGTGGAGTTAGGCAGGGTTGGGTCGGGGGAGTTGGCCCAAGCGAGAGGCCCAGCGTGGACACGCCCTGAGTTAAAGGACCGTGGCGGGAGACTAGCCAGCTGCAGGCTCCTGGGGTGTGGGCCGCACGGTGCCGGGGGCCGCAGCGAGCGCTCACCTCCCGGTGTGGTGGAGAAGAGCGTCCCCCCGGGCGTGGTGCAATAGTCATGAGGTAGCTGCGCGGCGTCGCTGATGGGAACGGTGCGGGTGGGTATGGCGCGACTCTGGCTGGGCTGGTGGCCGCTGCCGGCGGACGAGGACATGGCTCTGGGCGCGGGCTCTAGGGCTTTGTCCGGCGGGCGGGCGGGCAGGCGGGCAGGCGGGCAGGCAGGCGGGCGGCGGCGGCGGCGGCTGGGGGCCCGGGCTTCTCCGGCTCCTCCGGCGCGCGGGAGAGCAGGCGGGGCTGAGCGCGCTCCGCTCGTTCCTCTAAGTCTTCCTTTCGCTCTTTCGTCCCGCTTCGCTCCCGCCGCCGCCCTCTCAGCCGCCGCTGCCGCCGCCGCCCGATCCTCCGGCCTCCGCCTGCAGCCTCAGCAGCAGCAGCAGCGGCAGCAGCGGCGACGACGACGACGACCGGAAGCGGGCGAAGGCGGGAGCCAGAGGGAGTTCGGGGAAAGGAGTTCTGCCGGAAGTGACGTTTGTGGGCGGGACCGCGGCTGCGAAGGGGCGGGGCCGTAGCTGGGGAGGACCGTCCCTCCCTACCTCGGCCCCACACTGGCCAGACGGACAACAGCGGGAAGGGGTTTGAGCCAAGTTTTTGTGAGCCCAGAGAAGGTAGGCACAGAAAACTTTACTGGTTTGTTTTTGTCAATAAACACTGCTTTACCTGAACTGACTTCTGCTTCCTAGTCATCTAAACAAAAGTGTAGTTTTACTTCTAATTGCTCAATAATAAATATAGGCAGTACATACATGATGTATTTAAAAAATCAGAGCAGAAAGATTTACGGTGTCACGGTTTCCCAGTTTCCCAATTTCCCTTTCTAGGGGGAACCGCTGGTACCAGTTTATTGTGTATCCTTCTAAAGACACTCTCTATATATACAAAATGCAACATACAAACATTAAGAGATTACCGGTAATCACTACCCGTGCCACAAGGATGAGTGTTGAGTTAGAGATAAAGAAACTGAAGCACAGGGAAAGGTTAGGACCACGAGGTACCTGAAAAAATCTAGATCTGGGACCCTATTCTTCCTTCTGGGAGGGAATCTTTTCTTGTCCTGAAAGTTTGGTCTCAAAGTTTACATTCTTAAAAGTTATTAAGGATCCCAAAGAGTTTTTGTTTGTGTGGATTATATCTATTGATAATTACTGCATAAAACAGAATTTTTAAAATGTGCTTTAATTCTTAAAATGCCATCGTATGTTCATGTGTTTTTATTTTTAAATTTATATTTCCCCCCAAAATTAGGAAAGTGGCATTGTTTTACATTTTTGCAAACATTTTAATGTCTGCTTAGTAGAAGACAGCTGCAGTCTCACATCTGTTTCTGCCTTCTATCTGTTGTGATGTTTTGATTTAAGTATATGAAGAAAACCCAGGCTCATACAGGTATGCAGCTGAAAAAGAGGTACGTTCACAGGTTCCTAGACAGGGTCTCGGACCCCTTTGTCCCCCACCCAGCCACCAAGGGATCTCCAGACCACATTTTAGGAACTGCTGCCCTAGGCAGCATTGCTTCTGCCCACAATGTGCCCAAGGTGGAATTGAAAAGATAATCATGGGCACCGTCAACATAGCTATTTTCCTATTTTGTGAATGAGGAGATTGAAATGAGTCTCAGATATAAGTGTTTAGCCCAAGTAAAACAGCACCTACCTCACTAGTCTGGGAGCCAAACCAAACGTGATTGGAGGGTTGGAACTTTCAGTCCTACGCCTTTGACTCTGGGGAGGGCAAAGGGACTGGAGATTGAGATCAATTACCAGTGGCCCATGATTAGTCAATCATGCCTTTGTTATGAAGCCTCCATAAAAACCAAAAAGAACTGGGGGCTGGGGAAGGAGTTTGGAGAGCTTCCAGGTTGATGAACACTTCGGGATGGAGAGAGTGGCACACCCAGAGAGTGTGAAAGCTCTGCACCCTTACCTGGTATTTTGCCCTATGCATCTCTTCCATCTGGCAGTTCCTAAGTTATATCCTTTTATAATCGTAAACTGGTAATCTAGTAAGTAGAATGTTTTCTGCGTTCTTTGAGTCACTCTAGCAAATTAATTAAACCCAAGGAGCGAGCAGTTGGAATCTCAAATCTATAGCCATTCTGTCAAAAGCATAGGTGACAACTTGGGCTTGGAATTGGCATCTGAAGTTGGAGGGGCAGTCCTGCAGGACTGAGCCTGTAACCTGTGGGATCTGACACTCTCTCCAGGTAGTTAGTGTCAAAATTGAGCTGAATTGTAGGACACCCAGCTGGTGTTGGAGATTTGCTTGGTGGTGAGGGAAAAAACCACACATTGTAATTGGGAAAAGAATCTTATCTTTCAATGTTATTGAGATCTTGGGTGACTGGGAAGCTGATGATGCAGTTGGGACCTCACAGACACAGTACCCCTAGATCCATAACTGATGTGCTGCTAGGATTGAACATGTAAAATATATCATATTTGGGCAGCCCTTTCTTGGAACTTCTAACATTCATCAGTATAACTTGAGTTTTAAAAAATGAAAGTGGCCTGAGTGTCTCCAGCCCAAGGTGTGTTCTTTCTGTAGTCTGTTATTCTGCTATTTAGCCATCCTGGCTGCCCAAAACTCATTCCTTCTAACTCCCCTGTAGTCACCTCATGCTCTATTACCTCTGCTTCTGTCTTTCCCAGGGCCAGAGGAAGGCTGTTCCCCACCCTCTGTAATGAGGCCACCCACACAAGATCTGTATCATCATAAAGATAATAGCCCATTACCTTTGGATAACACTTTTCCAAAGCACTTTCAGACCATTACCTCATGTTAAGCTGAGCCACTAGCCCTGTGATGGAGGCAAGCAGTTTATTATTCTTATCTATAGTCTATAGATAAAGAAACAGACTCAGAGAGGTTATGACTTCTCTGAGGTCATACAGCCAGGACCCATACAGCTGCTCAAGCTTCTGGCTGGCCATCCTATATACTTTCTCTTGCACCTGCTGGACTCCTGCATTATAAAGAGGGCAAGATGCCCCATGGGCACACACTCTTTATTGTCACATCTACTGAACTCATTGGGGGATGAGCAGTATCCATTCCCTGAGCTCCTGAAACATAAGAGACAGAATATGTTCAAAAGGTGGTGATAATTATAGATAACATGTAAGCATTTAGGCTGAGTCAGGTGCTTTACTAGGCCTTCTAGAGATCGTATCTCTAATACTCCTAACCGCCACAAAAGGATAGGTATTATGTGTATTTACAGATGAGGAAGTAGCCTCAGAAAAGCTAGTTCGCCCAAGGTCACCTGCTGTGTCTCTAGAAATTCTCTGGCCTCTCACTGTGGTTAAAAACAGTCCACTGTGCACAGGATTTGACCTCAGACATGCCTTCATTCAAATACTTGCTCTCCTACCTGCCAGCTATATGACTATGAACTCTGAACATGTTCTCACTTCTGAAAAATAAAAGAAGGAACCTCTCATTCGCTGAGTGCTCTCCGGAGGACTAAATGTCAGGCCCAACCAAGGTCTGGCTGATGGGAATGGTGGTCAGGCACCAATCATATCCAAGAAGGTGCCAATGGCCATGAGGCTTGGAGAAGAGGGCCGAGCAGGAAAGCAGCAAGTGTGCCAGAGGGGACCATGCTTCAGTCTCAGTATTTCCTCCTTTGTTAGTCTTGTCTGGTGATGCCAACAAAAGTCTGTAGCTGTAGATTTCAGAAAACACACTATGGTTTCTTCAAAATTCCTTAGGCAAAATAATGTCCTCCATTGAAGCCAATTTATTATCTGCCTGTTTACTACAATTCAACGCCTTAGTCCCTCTCTCTCTCTCTCTCTCTCTCTCTCTCTTTCTCCATCCCATTATTTAGTAGAAGATTCTTCATAGGTACAACCCTCCCTGTATTACCCCTGGCCTGCAGGGTGAAAGTGGGCAGTATGCTTAAGGCCACACCATATCCAGTGGCATGTGCCTGGTTTTGATAGCTTGCGCTCTAACCAGAGGGAGCAGTTTTGAAATGGAAATGCACTGTCATCCAAACAATGAGTGGTGTACCATGCTCTGTGCCAAGCCACAGCCCAAAGGCAAGGCACATGGTATACAGAGTTTTGGAGCCAAGAGTGGAGCTCACCAAGTTGAGACAGGCGCTCTGCCCCCAGGAGCTTCTGCCTTCTCTTGGGTGGAGCTGAGGGTTTTCAAAGGGAATTCTTTATGATGACTGGGTGGGCCCTATCTGGTTCACAGAAGAAACTTTGACTTGATTGCTGGAGATCTTATTCTCCATGCAGGCTCTGGACAAGCTACTTGGCTTTCATCTCTCCATCAACTAATTCATTCAGAAATATTTACTCAGCTCCTGGTGTGACCCTCCTCTAGATTAAGGGGTGAACAAGGGCATAACTTGTGGAGCTTCTGCCTAACCATGGGATTCACCTACCTTCATGACAACTCCTTGCATCCAGTTCTTTGGCTGGATTTGGATGGGGTTATTCATCCAGCCACACTGAATTAGGCTCAGAAGCCCTGGGATAACAGTAGCTGGTGGTGTGTGTCATTGTATCACCACCCTCTCTCCCATGGCTTCCTCTTACTCTTGGAATCTGGTCTAGCCTCATCTCCTACCTTTCTTTCTCTCACTTAATGTGCTCCTGTTCCTCAAATAGACCATGTTCCCTCCTATCACCGGGCCTTTGCACACGCTTGTCCCTTTGCCTGGTTGGTCCCTGTGATGACCAGACATTAAGGTGACCCCTGTGATCTTCACTTTCTGATGTTCACGTCCTTGAGTTGGGGTGGAACCTGTGACTTCCTTTGAACCAATAGAATATGGCAGAGGTGGCAGAACGTCACTCCAGTGATTATGTTATGTAAGACTCCGTCTTGCTAACAGACTCACTCTAGCCTCTGCCTACCTCACATCCATTGCTGGCTTTGAAAAAGCAAGCTGCCATGAGTCCTGCAGTCCCAAGGAAATGAGTTCTGTCAACAACCTGAGTGAGCCTGGAAGTGGCCCCTTCCGCAGTTCCGCGGTCAGGCCTCCATGTGAAAATGCAGCCCTGCCCCACACCTTGACTACAGCCTTGCAGAGCCCCCAGCTAAGTTGTGCCTGGACTCTTGACCCACAGAGCTGTAGATAATAAATGTATTGGTTTAAGTCACCAAGCTTGTTATTTTTTTAAAAATGCTGTGTAAATTTGTTACTGTTTTCTGTATGCAACACAGAAAATTGCTGTATTTCCTAACATCCACCTAGTTGACTCTTACCCCCTATCATTCCCATCCCACTCAGATGAATTTTCTCAGGGCAGCCTTCCCTACCTTCTCTGCCAAGGCTCGACCTCTTTGTTAGAAGCCCTCATACCACTGTGTGCCTCATCTCCACTTGACCTATATCGTTATAATTGTGATCACTTAATATCTGCTTCTCCTCTAAATTGTAAGTGGCATGAAAAAAGCCTATTAAGCCCTC